GGGGGGGGCGAATTCTGACCTGACCACCAAGAGGTACATTCCCCTGATCTCACACCTGAACGCTCTGTGCCAGCTATTCGGATGAACAGACAGCTGAACACGTAGTGTAGGCGTGTCACTCTGGTACAGGATCGGAGGCAGGTACAATAATTGGTTTTCATTTTGTGACCATGGTTAGTCACATGATTGCCCATCCATCCCTTTTCTGTAACGCTTATCCTGTTCAGGGCCGCCGGGGGTCCAGAGACTGTCCCTGAGGCAGGGAACAACCCAGGACGGGGCACCAACCCATCACAGTGCACAGTCACAAACCAGTCACTCACACATGCAAGGCAGGGAACAACCCAGGACGGGGCACCAACCCATCACAGGGCACAACGCCATTCACTCACACGCCATTCACTCACACGCCATTCATTAACACACGCACACCTATGGGCAATTTGGCAGCTCCAATCAACCTCAGCATGTTTTTGGACTATGGGGGGAGCCGGAATACCGGGAGGAATTCCCATGATGACATAGGAAGAACATGCAAACTCCATGTTTGCATGGAGGTGTGAGGCAACAGAGGTGTAAGGCAACAGGTCTAACCACTGCGCCACCATGCCATCCTCAGATGATCGCCCACTAACCCTATATAGCTATCAAGTGTGCAGCATCAAAGTGACCAAAACCAACAGCCAAATAAATACAGAGACAAGAAGAGTAACAATATTTTCAAAAGATGGCTTTTGATTGAAGGGCTTCTTTCTATAGCATAATGCCATCAACAACTGAAAGACTATTACACACAAGGACAGCTGAAGACATTGCTTTATGTTACATTAGTTTGCAAGGTTGGCGACGTAACCTAAAGACACTGATTTTTAAAACTGCCCAGCACTTTGCTGTTGCAACAAACAAGCCAGTATTCTGAAGGAAGCTCACCCATTCATGTTTTCTCTGTGGACTACCGCAGGACCAAAGTCGAAAACGCAAATCTCTTCCTCTCGGGTAGAGCTTGGATTTCCAGGCAAACCTTCTCCTGACGACAAAAAAAATCGACCTGTTTGCTTTGTTTACCGACATTTTAAGCAGTCTTTGTGTTCTCCCGCATTTTAGTTCATTACCGGAAAAACTTTATCCAGGTCAGCTTTCAAGGCTGACAATTTATCTTGCAAATATTTACACAGTCGAGTGTAACTGCCAAAGTAACTTGATCAAAGATGTAAACTTTGTAGCTCCCACTATTCAACAGCACCCTCTTACATCCTCAGCACCTATTTCTGAAACAACAGAAAGGAGTTATATCCTGATACTAGATTATTAGGAAAATAAAGATATATTTGATCTCATTTGGCACAAACATCAGGAACACCATGTGCTGTGCGATGGAAATTTCTGTAATACTCTGCAGAAAGGCATGACCAGTGCTGCTACAGATTATGTTTTATGGCATCATGTGCAAAAGTCAAGGCCCCAAACTATTCCTGCTGGGGTCAGCCGTGTAGAAACAAGATTCAGTTCCTTGAACTTGAGTAACCTGAATTCACGGCCCTCATGTGGGGAAAAGTGTCCTAGTTTGTTGAGGCCCTACAGTGTTGCTACAATAAGACACACTTTGTCTAGACCAACACTTCACAGGTGCCATTTGCACGTTCAACTCTCCTGGAGAACTCTCCTGACCGTTCTTCCGGAGTCCCTTCCGTTTGCACCGATTTTTAGATTACAGCAGACGTGCCTTCATACACTACATGCTAAAGATTCATCGCCAAATGCCTGTGACTGGACGTAAAATAAAATTATTCATGTTTCGCTTGACAACAGAGTCTATTTATGGTTATATCTTGGGTACATAGATTTCCCCACAAATGACGTGAGGAGGAACCACAGATAATACTAGCTTATATGTATAAAAGTTTAGTCGTTTGCGGAACAGATACGCAATCCAATAAACACTTCATCCAAAAGAGGAAAAAAGGAAAAAAAAATGCAGGCAAAATGCAACTAACTGCAGACTCCCATATTTAAATGGTGGTTGTTATAGTAACCAAACCTGATCTTCCTCCCTTAGTTAATGGGGCTCTTGCATTCCCTCACTAAACGCAGCAGATGAATGGAGGGTCTTTGTTCGAAGCTGAAAGCATCTGGGTGTCTACATCGCCTCTGCTTGGGAGCTTGTTGACAGTCTTCCAAGGTTAAGGAGTAAAATGTTGCACCACAGACACAAGAAGGGAAAAAGACAGGCTGGCCAGCACAGATGCATGCTTTGTTAAGCAAACTGACAGATTGTCCTTGTATTACATTACATTATAACCGAGGACTATTGGCTTACACATAACGTGGTGCTTAAAAAGGAAATGAGAAGAGCAGACATAATCCTTCCGGCAGGTTAAAGTGGCATTTGCATGGCCAAGATATCCGCAATTACAATGCCTTCGCGTGCATAAATTATACATTTGCAAACTTGATGATCCGCAAAGAAGCATAAAAACACTGATATATGAGGCCGCAACAAGCTATGATGCCAAGGAACATGCCAAGGGACATGCCAAGGAACACCTCATCCCAAAACCAAACGGCTACATCAGTCTTTCCCAATCTGGTCCTCAGGGGCCTGCAGACAGTCCATGTTTTTGCTCCTAGCGGGAGCTGGGAGGGAGCAAAAACGTGGACCGCTGTGGCTCCCTGAGGACCAGTTTGGGAAACAGTGAATTTAACAAACAAATAAATAAATAACTCCCGAAATAATTTTTTTTTCGGCAACAAGTCTGGAAGGCGTCAAGTGAATAGTTTATTGGCAACCCACTGCATCACATTAGCAAGGTCTTTTTATGCTTCTCTTGTTACAGCCTTTCTGACGCCTCCTAATTTAGCACAATGTGTTTATGATCATTTGTAAGTACTGGAAACAAACATCGATGGTTTCAGGGCAGTTTTCCGAGGGTGTACATTTTACTGATATTAGTGCTCACTTAGTTATCAGCGTCTTATTACATCATATAAATGCAAAAATTTGCCAGCAACTCTGACTGATCCTGTATCACAAATTTACACATCGATTTGGGGGAAAATATCCAGCCACCTGAACTGGCATCCGGGCGTATGTCCGACCAGACTCTGCTTGCATTAACTCCCTGTTTGGCTTTGCGGGGACGGAGCAGGAACAGAGGAGCAGGGAGTTGGGGAAGTGAGGGCTTTATTTGGGGAGGATACATCCATGAACAGAGACTAAACAAGGACTGACGTCAATGACCGGACTGGGGAAAACATACCTAACGCAGACTTACTGTAAATACATTGAACTAAACAGCAACAAGAAACTGCTGGTAAACACGGGGAATCCACATGAGGTTAACGAGGGGGCGTGGCACACGGGAGGGGCGGGCGATCGTGGCAGAACACTCCCCCTGCGGGCAGCACGTGTTAGTGGTAATAAGCTCTATAATCTTACCTCAAAAACAATTTTTTTGTTTCCCTCCACCCTGATCAAATGAATAAATTCAGCAGTTTGTTTCTTGACGTAGAAGACACGTCATCAAGCCAACTAACTTGAACTTAAGGTGTTGAACACCAGGTGGTATTAATTGCTATGCAATGACTAATTTGACGAAAAAAAAAATGAACGAGAATGCCAGATGACTAATGACTAAAAAATACATGTGAGTGTAACCGAAAAGCAACATGGCCAGTACTGCTTTTGGTTTGTGTTTTATGTATGGAGTAGGGATGTGTGAACAGGCACTAAAATATCAATTCTTTCTATCTGAATGGGAGGGGGATGGACTCAGACACTCGGGAAATAGAATGATCGATCGACCAGCACCTCACTCCGGCTCAGCAGAAAATGTTATTGTAATGTAATAGTTAGGGTTGGGTGTGCACTGTATATCGGTATCGAGATTGATATCAGCGATACCAGCCTTGGATAGAATCCAATACAGATTGAAAAGAAAATCAGTGGTTTCGCCGCTGCCAAGAACGACAGTAAACAGTGTCGGCCCTGGGTTTTATGCTGAGCTTATTTTCCTTTCATCTTTTTGTGACGCTCTCAGGCTGCATGTACAAGACGCAGGTGTGTCAGCTCAGCATCCACTATGAACGCGGCTTCTCAGTGCTGCTGGGGGCCGGGGAGGACGGCTCCATGCCGCGGCCGCTCTTCAGCTACCCCTTCGAGAGGCTCAAGATGTCCTCCGACGACGGCGTCCGGATGCTCTTCTTGGATTTCGGGGGGAAGGAAGGGGAAATCGTAAGCATTTTTGCTACTCTTTGCGTTGCACTTTTTTGCCTGAGTTTTACACGCATCGCTTCTTACTGAAATAATTCATTTTAATTAATCTTCTTCCTAATTGGGTAAAACACACTACTTAGTAGAATACGGAAATGCTACTGTCACACTTACAAATATTTAAACCTTCTCTCTGAGCTACAAGGTGTTTATGTATGGAATGGTCGTGATTTTCAATTTAAATGTACTATGTCATGTTACATCAGTTGCTGAGAGTGCTGCGTTTCTCTGCAATATGCGCTAACATGCTTTCTCGCTGTTTTCCTTTGGAAGCGACTGGATCTCCACTCCTGTCCAAAGCCCATTGTCTTCATCCTACACTCCTTCCTCTCTGCAAAGATTTCCCGACTTGGCTTGCTGGCGTGAAGAAGGTTTTACCATGAAATGGACCAAATCATCCCAAGGCCAACTCCCCCCTCCCCTCCCCCCGCATCACACAGTGTGCACATCAGACTGAAGATCTTTTAACAGATCTTTTAAAGGATCTATTGTGATCTACTTAGCTTCAGATTGTATTTTGAAGTACATATAACAGAATTAACTTTGTCTTGAGTTACCTATGTGAGAATAGCAGGGAAATCTTAAACACTAGAAATTATCAACATTAATACTTAACTGAAATCTGTGCTTTAGCACAATAACTGCAGAGAACACTAACATATTTAATTGAATTAAAGATATACTGGAAGTATTATTTTTACTATTTCCCCATCCTAAGACCTTTGTCCTGTAACCTTCATGAAGGAAGCGAGTGGTCATATGACTGCTGCACTAATCATAAAATAAATGGACGGTACACTTCTGGCAGCTATAGTCATCTGTACAACTAAACTGGCTTTAAAGAATAAAAAAAAAAAAAAAAAAAAATCAGTAATACAGTTTAGTCTTTTTCCCTATTTAACACCCAAGGCATTTTCATTTCCGGCTTTTCATATTTACAAATATTAGTGATCCGTAACGGATTCTCTGATTCAGAGGAAGCAAAGTGATGGAGGTGAAATGTAAATGATATCAGTTATATGTGCTTTTTTTTTTTAATAGGTTGGACTAAAAAATATGTCACAGTAGGCGTTGGTGGCTCATCTGTCTCATTACTCACAGACAAGAGCATTGTAAGACTTTGAATGCAAGATGGTAAATTAAAGGGCTGCACTGTTCTCCTGTTCTCAAGTTAACTGGCAATTAGAGGGAATGTTTTTTAAGTGCCGAAAGCTCCCGACAGAACAGGCCACAATGTTGCAACATTCCTATGAGGTTGACTCATTTTTGTAGGTCTCTAGGGTCAATGAGGGCAAAAAGGTCACTGCCAACCGTTATTGTGCTTGGCGAACAGGATAAAGAAGAAAAAAAAAAAGTGGACGTCATTTGGCAGGTATAATATGCTATTGAAAATGCGTGTCCTCCACTTAGAGTAGAATAAATGCAAATAAGTGGCTCCTGATTGGTTAGTCTACCGAATGTTTTTCCCTATGGGAAAATTCTAGTCTATAACTGACCATGAGGAAAAGTGCAAATATCTTAACTGTGCCCTTGTCTTCTGGAATATTTCTTTGCTGCTGAAATTGACGTCTCGCTCTAGTTTACCCCACTGGGAATGGAATCTGATAAGGATACTCAGTTACTGGTAATTGACCAACGCTACTATTTTTTTTCCCCCCCAAACGTGTTTATGGCCTCATAAACATGGCTCTGCTTCCTCAAAACAGTTTTGTTAAATGTCTGGCGATGCCTGGTTTGCAGCAGCAAATGCCTGTTTCTATGTTTTTGCGGGGTCATTAAATGCACTATGCACCACATGTTTAATGGGTCAGTAAACCTGGATATCAAGCTTTAATCATCCAGAATCTGTGTGACTGTTCACAATGAGTCCCAGCAAGGGAAAGTACACTGGTTGTTGGCAACTACTCAGCTAGTTTACAGTTACGGTGAAATACAGAATTGTATTAACTGTCCACGTTGCATTATTACCAAGAAAAGGCTGAAGTGACAGAATAACGTGGAGCCCAGGAGGGAGCCGTGCAGAACTCCTGGGAGGACTGAAAGTCCGAGAAGTCACAAAGGAAAAGTCAGTAGTGAAATTCTTAATAGATGGAGAGTATGTAATTCTAAACAAATATGAAGTCCTTCTGTGTAACTCTGTATATCCGTTTTTGTGTCTGGGGACTCCTGTGTTTGTGATCCCAAGGATAAAATGAGAGGGGGGGGGGGGGGGGGATGTACGGAAATAGCATACTAACATAAATTAGGAGGGTTTCTTCAAAGATGTAATCCTGGGTTTGTGATTAACCTCAACAGTGATCCGCTCACCCCTTAACTTATACAACCGAGAATACATCCATTCTTTTACAATAATTAACATTATCAATCAAGACCCTCAGCAGCACAAGCGGAATAAGTGGACCTTGGTTATTTTCATGGATAAGCTATGACTGTACATCTCATTCATTACAAATTTAGCGGCGAGTGATACCTCAGCTCACAGAATGTCGGTTGCTAATCTGAAACTCTTGTCACTTGTGATTAAAGAGCTGAATCCTGATTACGGTCTGTGGCTTTTTCTTTGTCTTGCATCTGGAAACAGCTGTGGCCCTTAGCCTTAGTGGTGGAGCAATTAGCCGTCACTGACCTGCCGCCTAGCTTGTCATGATGCATTACTGACGACTCAAAGACATCCCTTTATGGGACATTCACGATATGAAGAAACCAAACACAGAGAGTTGCCAGGTTATGAATGGGATGTTCCCTAAGTCTGTCTAAGTCAAATTTGTAGATAAGTTGGAACAATACAGGCAGTTCCTCGTGCTAAGGACACCTGACTTATGGAAAACTCGTATTTACGAACCAACCGCCATAAAGCCTATTATCCTCCTGAGACCCCACCCATTCTTTTGTTTTTGCATATATCTTTTCACTAATGTAAGGAAACATATTTATTCCTGTTGTACACAAAAGAGGATATGCTGTGAAATTAAAAATAAAAATAAATTTGAAAAAGATGTCCTATTTCCTCCAAAGACATAGAAAATCACAATTAACCTAAAACTGAAGGACACTTTTTTTCCTTGGGTCTCAGGAGGATATGATAAAAATTCGGGTTAAATACAAAGGTTCGTAATAACAAATGCACATGGTACTTATACCACACGACTAGCAGTTTGTCGGTACAGTACAGTACAGTATTTACTATTATTACTGAATAAATCTACACAGTGGGGGCTTCTATGAGACTACAGGTGAAACAAATGTTTCACCAAGAAAAAAATTATCTTCATGACAATCACTTTTTATTAGTGTGAAACCACAAAATGCTCATAAAAAATAAGGTGCCTCTCCTAATTTCAGCTCCTCGACGGTATACGGCTCTGGTCAAAAACGTGAAACAGCGCCACCCCTAAACGCGGTGAAACAGGGAATTTCAGTGAAACAAGCTTCACCCCGATCGATATTTTCCCCCATTAGTTTCAATGTAAATCATCACAGACCCCGGCGGCTGGTGGATTTTCCGGGTTCAATGGACTCTTATGGCAAATAAGTCCCACCCGTGAAACAAGTGATTGTCTACTGTGATAGGGTAGTTGTCCACTTCAATATGACTGACACAACACTGTGGCCAATCACTGCCAATCATGTAGTGAGCACCTGACCTTGAGTGTGAGGGCAGCTTGAAAGCTTCATAAATAACAAAATGCATTACATTTCGTTTATGCAATCTTCATTTTTCAAGCTATGGTATTTTTCTGTGAATTAGAGGGATTTGTGACTTTAGGTGTTTTGTCTGTGAGATTTGTTTTATTATTCATAATAAGTGCTTGTTCACTAAATGAATGGAGTGGCCTATAATGTGAGGCAGCTTATCGTTGGGGAAATACGGTAGCTACCTTTCTGCCTGTTATTTCCATAGCTGCTCACTAACTCCTCTGCGAGACGGATCCACTCACCAACATTTTGGGAGATGAACAGAATAACATCGTTGATCGCATCTTACAGGATTCTTTCCAGTCTTTTCCTTATGAGAAATTACGTGTGAAGGCAGAGGGAAGAGGTTCAACATGTTTTCTTGGGATTTAGCAATATTGTAAATTTTGTGAGGCAGCAATATTTGTGTATGTGAGGCAGAAAAGTAAATGTTAGGGTGGCTCTTTCTCTGAAATAACAGTATAGGCTCTGTATTGTGTTGTAATATTAGGGTTAATGTGTGTCCTTGTGGTTGTTGTATGGCTTTTGTCAGCTTCGTGTTTAACAAAAGTATGCAAGCATCCAAAAAAAGAACAAAGAACAAAAACAAGAACCAAAACAAACCCCATGATATAGTGACATCCTTATATAACCTCGTATCATGACCTGTACCTTGAATTGGGGAGTGGGCTTTTGCCTAAACAGGTCTTGCGGAAGTGTGTGTTTGCTTGTGTGTGTGTGATGTAAAAATGTAGCCAATGACGTACATATGACCTCACTATCTGTAAAGCCTCATGAATGAACACCAAGCTGCCCGGGGGGGGGGGGGCAAGGCAAGGTGCGGAGTTTGTTCAGGAAAGGAAGGAAGGAAGGTTTGTTTCACCAAAAATTTTGACCAGGAGCCACTGTATCATTTTTCTGACTTACCTACAAATTCAACTTAAAAAACAGACTTAGGGAACAGATCTTGTTCGTAACTTGGGGACTACATGTAATAATCTGGTACATATTAATAATAATAATACATTATTAATAATAAAAGTTACTACATGCAGTGTCGTATTATACCGCAAGTCAATGAATCGCTGAAGCCGCGCAATGTGTTCACAAGTGTCACAAACTAGTGCATGAGTTCGTTATTACTAATCAGTGCATTTAACTCAAATATTTAATATAACAGGCTTTATGGCAGTCCGTTTATAAGCCGGGAACTGCCTGTAAAAAAAATAAAATAATTAAAAACAGCATTTAAGTATATTCAAGCTTTATATCACAATAGCACCTTTAAAATTAATTATATTTATTTTTAGCACAAGGCTTTAATAAATATATTAAGTAAAAGCAGCTCACAATTAAAAGTTCACACATTTTTGGCACCACATGGTCATAAGCACATTTTCAAAGCCAGAAGAGCAGAATATATGTATATCGTGTATCGAGAACGACGGAGGGGATGTTAGTCTCTCATGAAACCAGCTGGAGAGACACCAGCCTCAAATGGACCAGAATATTCTCTTCCTCACTTTCTGGAAGCCTTTTCAAGGACCCACTGGATAACCTGCAGTTGGCACAAGGCATCAAGCTTGTTTCAGTCACAGGAAAGACCTGATGCTTGTAACGGCTCCCTTGAGAACCATCACACATACATGCGATTGTGTCATTATGGAAAATGTGTTAGTTCAACCCTTATGGGAGTCACACGCTGTTGGTTGGTAAAATTTAGAAAACCGTACGGCACCCAAACGACCCGCCATCATCGCCGATCGGTCACAAATCGGATCGGTTCTCGGACCGAGCTACATCAGAGAGGCAAAACGGCCAATACGCACGCAGCAAAAGTGCTTTGTTGTCTGAGGTTGCAGGATACGGGCGCTTGAGAGTTACCTGCTTGCAGTTATTCTGGGCGGCTTTTTTCATTTCTTCATGGAGACCTCTGGAGGTTTTCAGATCCTGATTCAAAATGAGAGAAGTTCGGTTACAGAGGAAAGCGCAACAAAAGCCCCCATTGTCCGCATGTCCAGGAGGCGAGTTTCAGCAGGAACCAGCATGCTTATTCATTCAGCGGTTCCAGAGTTAGAGTAAGACTCAATTACACCCAGAAAGTAGCCCGGGCTTTTCTGAACTGTGCATTGTCAGTTTTGGACACCCGGTAGAGGAACAGACCTTCAGATAAAACTTGGATATTTCGAATAATCTCTGACTGCAGGCTTCAAAGCACTTGTGCTCGCCCACGATTCCGTGCTGCTTCAGCGTCTTCGCGACCACCTCGTTCAGCATCTGAAACGGACATCGACGGCCCACAGTTACACCCGTGGCTCTTCAACGGCGTAACTTATAAGCCCAATAGCCTGCCAGTACATTTTGTAGTTTGTTTAAAGCGGGACACTTAAAGATGCTTCTCATCTTGACCAATACCTCATCGTAAGGCAGAATATACAAAACGTCACTGAAGAATCACCAGGCAAAGGGCTGTAACTATAGCAACGGCTTCCCACCCTGTTGTGTTTCTGCGAACGGGACTCCTTGGTCGCATTGTCCCCGGCGGGCGGCTGACTGGTGGTGTCGCTCCGCTGAGGCCCGGGGGCGGGTCTGCCGGAGGTGGGTATGACCTGTGACCTGGCAGGCTGCCGACGCAGGACCCGAGGCGCCAGTTGGGTGCCACTGCTGCAGCTGGACTTGGAGCCCAGAGACTCGTTGCTGTCCGATTTGACCAGTCTGTAGGGCGGAGAGGAGCGTTTAGGGCTGGACTGGGGGGCAAACGGAGACGTTCCCTTCTCCCGCACTCTGCGACTAAGGCAACGCAACCTCCTACGATGAGCCTTACTCATTAACGGCGCCCCCCAGAGGACCCTCCGGTCTCATGCACCTTAACCCAGGGCTGCTCAGCTGGAACTAACACAAGCTTAACATTGCCATGAAGAATCAATCAGTAATCCGGCCTGAACCCACAGACACACACAGTTCATATACTCCTATCATTGTGGGGACTCTCCATTCATTTCTATGGGAATTAACCCCTACCCAGCCCTAACCTTAACCATAAGTAACCAAACTAAATACAAGCCAAAAAATCAATGTGGAAAACACACAAACACACACACACAGACACACACCCCCTATGGATAAGTGACACAGGCACAATGCCACTTCTGTTTCAATGGATAGAAAACACAGAACTTTCTCAGTGCTGCACTTCTCACTGATAAACCGGACACCAACCAATCATGAAGCATTACATTAAGGTGTTCCAGTCTTCCTCCACCAGTAAACAATGTCTTTACACAGGACATGAACAACTCATGTGGGGCAGGCATCCCTCCAAACCCCCCCTCCCAGTTTTCAGAGGCAAGTTTTTAACATCTTTAACATCTATATGACTGCCAGCATTTTTGCAGCTTAAAGTGTGACCCCTCCCCATGTCTCCTGAGTATCATTTTGCTGTCATGGGGGGGTGGGGTCAATTTTAAAAGCATCCAGAAAGCATCATGACTGCGCACAGTGCTGTCTGAAGGTGTGATGAAAAGCAAAGGAGACCCCCCCCGTCTCACCACTGAGAAAACGCACTGGCAGTGTCTCCAGTGATCGGCTCGGGGGGTACTGCCCCCCCCCGCCCCCACTGCAGCCCTGAATGTACCGCTCATGTTAAAAATATCAGTCAGACAGACAGCAGAATAAGCAAAGCAGCGACGCTTACAGGAAACGCCCAACATGCGAAGCTCAAGGCCGATACCAAGAAAACCAGCAACTGTCCCTTTCCTGTGGGAACTGTCACAGCGAAAACATTCACCAGACATTAGATCTACCGTCATCTTAAAGACTAACAGCAGATTAAATATGAGGGAAGTCAGTCAGTCCCCCTAAAAT